TCATTGAAGAGAAATTCATTTCGGATGAATTGAACTCATTATTTTGGCAGCCTTCAAACTTTCAATGGTCGCAATGATTTTAATTTTGAGAAGAGCCACCCATTGACTTTAACAAATTTCTTAACTCAATCCATCTTCTACAATCTACATCGTTAAAGGCGTGTGGTAAAATATTATTTTTAATTTTATTGATCAGAATTTAATTCTAATAATTTCACATAAAAATTAAAACATTTATTATGCACTGATCACCTTGTAGTACTATTTAAAAGTCACAGAGACGGTACGAAACAGGTTTTATGGATTCAATTGCTGCTCTCGACCCTTTTGTCCTTGGACTTGGCTTCCATGATGATCATCCCCCTTCCATGATAATCGTTATACTTGTCAAACAATATTTAATGACCATTTTATTTTGATATAAATTTTAGAATTTTAAATTTATCTTTTAATTATTTTTATTCTTTATTTTCTCTCCCATATTTTTCAACAACAAAACTTATTTGATAATATGAGATTTTCGACTATTTCAGCAACTGAAAACCATAGAAATTATATCAAAATCAAATTCAACAATAGGAAACAAAATTAAAAAAAAGTAAAATAAAATAAAATGTTGAAATTATTATTAAAATGTAATTTTTATAAAAAAAATATTTTCTAATTAATATAAACGATGTACTTAAAAGTTTTAAAATATATTAGTTAAAGTTTTTTAATAAAAAGGTAAAATAATACTTTGCACTCATTCCTAATATATTCTTTTACATATTTTTAACTAATCAAACATCTCTTTTTAAGAAAAAAAAAACTCATAAAATACTTTAATACCATCATTCTTATATTATATTCCATAAATCAAACTATAAAATTTGCCAGCCGTAATTGGGCTTTGGTTTCTCAGCCACTAGCCAGGAGAAAAAAGTCGTTGAAATTGGGCCTTGTCCTTCTCTTAGCAGTTTGAGTTTCTTTATTTATTAATTTAAAATCAATAATTATTAAAAACCTAAAAAACCTGTAAAAACAAACAAAATGAAAAATCTAGCCCAGTAAACTGTAACCGAAAATGGCACTCAACGCAGTCTCCCTCTTTTCTCTTTATCCTCTCTCATTTCAACCCATTTGCTTTGTTAACTTAAACTCAACGCAGTCTGCCTCCCTCCTCTATATCCTCTCTCATTTCAACTCATTTACTCTGTTACCGCCGCCACTCAGCCAAGATTCTTCGATCTCGAGAGCCCGCCCGTAGGATCAACGCCATCTTCCTCAATAGACTGAGGCACTTACATTTTCAAAGATTTTTCCATTCCTTTTTTTTCATTTTCTTTTTGTTTCACTTTTTATGAATTGTTTTTTTTTTTTTTAAACAGTTTCCATCAATTTCATGAGATGGCAGATGAGGGAGGCAAGAGCTATGCAAGGAGAGATAAGCTACTGGAAATCGAGTCAAAGGTTAGAGTTTTGTGGGAAGAAAAATATGTGTTTAAGGCTGAGCCTTGTGAAAAACCTCCTCAACCAGGTGAAAAATTCTTTGGGAACTTTCCTTTCCCGTATATGAATGGTTTTTTACATCTGGATCATGCGTTTTCGCTTTCGAAACTCGAGTTTGCTGCTGCTTACCATAGACTAAGAGGTGCTAATGTGTTATTGCCTTTTGCTTTTCTCTAGATCTTACGTTTGATTTTGTTGTTCTTCAGCTGTTATGGAAGGTCTGCTCTAGATATATATATATATATTACCTAGATTTTGCTTTCTTCTTAATTTTTTATTATCATTTTTCTGTCTAAGATAAGCTTGATTTTGATGGCTGTGAATCCTATTTTTTTTGGTTGATGATTGAAGAAAGTTAAAAAAAAAGTTTTTTTTTTTTTTGAAAAATACATATCGAAGAAGGATTCTATGCTGAAGAAAGTAGTTCAATTTTCAAGTTCTTTTTTGAAAGTCAGATTTTCTTTTCAAGTTTTATTTTCTAATCTTAGTTGAGAGAAGTTTTTTTTTTTTTCTTTGCTGTTATATGAATAAAATATAGTGCATGAAAACAATCCATTTTTAGTTGGGTGAAATTACCTTAAATGGTGAAGATTTATCTTATTAATTGTATTTTGGTAACTCCTTAAATTTCTCCAATGTTGGTTGAGTTTAGAGCCCTGTTAGATTTTTAGATGTATTTATTATATCTATTTACCAAACTTTGATGAGTTTATATTTGATGTGCCGTCAGTCTATAATTAATTAATTTGGGAAATTACCAGCATTTATGTATGGGGCTTCTAAAAATGTTTTGGTGATGTGGTTACCGGTGAAACAGAGAATTACTTTTGATTTTATATACGCTATCAGAATTATGATTTTTGGGCCTTTTCTTCCATTGTTTTTAATGTTGCTATCAAAGATATCTTTCATTGAGGTAAAATTATTTGCTGGCATATCTAACATTGTGTAGTGTAGATCACATGGAAAAATGGTGGAGGCAGTAGCGGTCCTTAGCAAAAGTGAAGGTGTTAGTGGAACTGTTTTCTTCTTTCAAGTGGGAGATGGTAAATCACAAGCCTGATAAGACTTCTTGGTCTCTGTATTTCTGTCTTTTATGTCAAAGTTATTTAATCCTTTCTGCCCTTTTTAGGTCCAACTTCTGTGACTGGGAACTTCTGGTCCTAAGCCTTTGCTCCATGGACTCCATGTTCATGCCCTTGGGGACACAACAAATGGTTGCATGTCAACAGGTAAAAGTCTGAAAGTTGGATTTGTTTTTCCTTTTTCTTTGAAGTTGGAAGGAAATGAAAAAAAAAAAAAAAGGAATGACAGTAGGTTGGCTTTATTGATTTCTTTTGTCTTTGGATGTAATTGTTTTGGAGATTTTTACCTTGTGATTAATCTCTTTGCAGGACCCCACTTTAATCCTGCCGGCAAAGAGCATGGTACCCCAGAAGAAGAGAAGTGCCATACTGGTGATCAAGGAATATCACTGTTGGTGATGATGGTATGAATATTTGCCTTCTGTAAATGACTATAGGCTTTCTAGTTCATTACTAACAGTTTCAGAATATTTATATTAGGTTTTCTTTTCTTTTCTCTTCTTTTTTGTTTCAACTTTTTTCAGTTGTACGTTGTATGTTGTTTCTTGTATTGTTAACACTGTTAATTTTATTTGTGTGGTCCAGACTGTGATAGTTTCTCTATCATTGACAAACAAGTTTTTGCTCAACTCCTTATTCCTCTGCTTACATTTGATCAACTTAAGGCCATTTCTGAAAGTTATTGTTCCATACTTTGGCAGATTCCTCTCACTAGGCCATACTCCATTTATTGGAAGAGCTGTTGTTGTCCATGCAGATCCTGATGACCTTGGCAAGGGTAATAGTGACAAAATTTTGAGTCTGTTTAAGTTGTTTACTTCTTTTATACTTAGTCTTGCCTATGCTAGGAACACTACTTAGTAAGTGATTGACTTCCTGAATTGGTTCCCCTCCCAACAATCTTATCTTCCTGGCCTCCCAACAATCTTAGCTTCCCGGCTGTGAGAGAAAAATCAAATTAAAATATTAATACCCTTATGGCTCATGCTTTTGTCTATGGAGATTAGCCGAGCTATGAAATGGAATGCTTAATAATATACTCAATAAGTATTTGTAATGCTTGTACTTAAGCTTACTTAAGTATCCACCAAGAACTATGAAATAGATTAATGATATTAGGGCCACTATAAAGTTTGATCATTTATAATTGTTACTTCATTTTAGTTACCAATTTATATATTCAGCAGTATAGGCATTTCTTGTGCATCATATGCAGGGTTTGTTGTAAATATGCTAGTTATGATCTAGGCATTTATGTAGACATCACAGTTATACTTTTGATTAATAACATAATGTTGATGGCTGTTTTAAATGTCATTGGGCAGGCCAAACCAGAGACTATGGGTAAGGAATGTGATTTAGTAAGGAAACAACTAGCTATAGCAAATGACCAACCAGTCACTGGTGAATCAAATTTGCTGATCTTGTAGCTGATTCTCTTGATATGGTACACTCTGAATGTTAGGTTTTTGTTCCTTTTGCCTTTTCATCTCATTTGGGTAAAACAAGCGTGCATTATCAAGGAGAGCAAGCATTTGTTTGAGTTTGATGAATTTTTTCCTATCTATTTGTTTTAGATGCCTTGGTCTTATGTATTTATTCTTGGGATTATCCCTTTTTCACAAACCAACCGTAATTTTCTTTATCAAGATGGGCCATGCCACTCTTCTATCTTAGCTTTCCTGACATCTCTAGGTTTTGCGCAAAAGCAGCATGTCCACTCTACAATGTACTTTAAGGTTGTGCTTCTTCCTTTAAAGGACCAAGGTTGGTGGAGGGAACATTAGTGGAGGGCACAACATGGGGCATTTCTGGGCCAAGCATTTTGGCTAACATAATAAAGTTGTCCTTTTGGTTCTTCCTACAGCTTGAAGCCCTCTCTCCCCTCACCTTTTGAGTTCCCTTGGTGCTTGTTGGCTACTAACATTGTTTTTGTTACTTCTTCGCCAACTCTAAACTCTCTCCCACTTTACCTTGCATTGTTTTAAATTCGGTGGAATTCCTTTTCAGGTTAAGATTGTGATGGGACTTGAGGAAGAATTTGGAATCACTGTGGAAGAGGCCAATGCCCAAAGCATCACAGCGGTTCAGGATGCTGCAGATCTCGTGGAGAAGCTCAGCAGTGAGAAAGGTGCCTAGAAACAATGGCCTAAATCAGAAGTTCATTTGCAGATATCGATGTTACTTAACTGGCCTGCAACTCTAGAGCATTTGGCAAAATCTTGTTGTGAACTCAAGTCCATTTATTTGTTTCAATCTAGGAAAACTCAAAGTAGTTGGGATTTTTAGTTAATTTGTGGATTTAACTTTCCGTTGTGAGTCTACGAAATACTATTTGATTTGATTGTGTGGCTTTTTTAAATTGGTGGTGACTCATAGAACTTTTGTTTCCTTAAGCTGCAACATATAGTTATGATGGGTAATGTAGGTTTTAGCTGCGGGGTAGAGTCCCTGACAAAGGTTATATGCCCAAATCAAAAGCTTAAAATGACTTGGGGTTGAATCTTATTAAGATAATCCTGAATGTTTATTAAGGTTTTACAACAAAATCATGATAACCAATGTCATTGAGACTTAACTATCATTTTGTATAATTCAAAATCATATGTATAAAAACAAAATAAGTCATTAATCTCAAGGGTTCCAACAAGAGTGGCAGGCAAACAGAACACTGGAATAAATAGCTTAAGTAGAGTATGCAAACAACAAAACAAACACAGGAGTTTAGGTGCAAGACATCAACAAATGTTACAAATTAAACTTACAATCCATAACCATCAAGCATGACTTCGAAATCTGAAGCAAAACAAAGTAAAAAGCTCACACATATTTTAGAATTACAATCCACAACTTGAAATCTAATGCAAACAAACAAGGTAAAAGCTTCCACGGCCTGCAAGCTTTGGCTGATTCATCCATCATGAGATCTGCTGGCTGCTGCATGCAACGGTTAAAAATTGAAATGAGTACTTAACAAAGAGAGCTGATAATTAATTACTAAATAAATAGAACATCAGAAAAAACAATATATAAATGTTTCATATCCAAATATGTGTTTCATAACAAAATTAAAATGATTAGAATTATATAGGTCCATGATAAAAATTTCTACTCCATAAAAAAAGTAAATAACAAAGAAAAATTATCTTGGTTGAAAATGTTCTAAAGCTAAAGAAATTTTGTATTCTTAATTTGTGTTCAAATATTACCATTTTTGGCCCTTTTGTTTTATAATTTCACACAATTTCTAAATGACAACGGTTGCAACCAAATGCAAGTCTAAAAGAGTGACAGATTATATTTTTTAAATACTCTACTTAAACATTGAGTTTTGTTGGTGTATGTAGAAAGAAAAAAGAAATCTGGAAAAGATTCAAAAGTTTTCAACGAAATGTGTAATATACATGTGTCATCTTACTAACCCCGCTTACAAAGTTTAAAATCTCAGCGGATGGAATAATTTCTCTAATTATAATAGTTAAAGTAGGTTGTTATGGCACTAAATAAAAGCTCACCTTCGTTATTCTGTGTGAAAGCTAGCTCCAAATTATATACGTGCGGTACTTGAAGCAAAAAAATTTTCCAATTAAAAGTAGTTAGCTTTAGAAGAGATTAAAGGCAAAAAGAAGTTTTATGTAACAACCTTAATAACACAGGACACTCTAAATTCTTATTGTCAACGTACAACAAGTTTTTTAAGAAAGAGAAGAAAAGGCCTCTGGTGAAGATTGAAAGAAGCAAAACGAGATAGAGAGATAAGAGCAAATAAAATCTGATAGAGAATTTCAACATTTACTACGTACCTCTAATAATATATGATATTAACCTCTTGGACATGTGCAATTTTGTGCCAATCTGCACCCCCATCTCGTCGGCATCTTTCGGTCAAGACCGGACATCCTTCAATTTTTAGTTGTCTAAGTTCAGTGAGGCGATCCATTCCCTCCGGAAGAGATAACAAATTTGGGCAACAACTGATCTCAAGTTTATGAAGTGATGTGAGATTTTGTAGCCACGCTGGTAGTACCTCAAGCTCGTCACAGAAGCCAATTTCTATTTGCTGCAAAGTGGTAGAAGATCCTTCGAGAAGCAATCGTGGCAAATATGTCATTGCATCTAACGAGAATACTCTGAAAATTTTAAGGCTCAAGTGAAGGTCTTTGTCTTCTTCCTCTTCCGGTTCCATTTGTAAATTGATTTCACCACAATCAATAACGTAAAGTTCTTCTAATTTGGTTAGGAATTTCAGGCTTCGTGGCAATGAGACAAGTTTAGGACAATAATGCAGATAAAGTGTTTGAAGTGATGTCAGGCACTGCATTCCTTCAAACAAACCTTCTAAATTTTCGCAGTTAGCCAAGCTTAAGTATTGAAGAGAACTCCAACATCCTGGTCTAATTTCTTTCAAATGCTTAGCTTCAATAGTTATTTCTAGATATCTAAGCTCAATCAAGCTTTGCACGCTGTCAGGCAACTGCATCAAAGGAACATTCCACATTTTTAACGTTAGCAAGCTCTGTAACTTATAGAAAGAACTAGGAAGTTTCCTTATTTTATGACATCGATCCAAGTTGAGGTATCGTAAGTGCTTCAAGGTACCAATGGAATCTGGTAAGGCTTCCAATGATGAATCACTTAATTTAAGTGCCCGTAGGTACTTGAAATTTGAGACACAGAAACTGATAAAAGTGTCATCAATAGTATTTGGTCCCTCTGAATGCTGTAGTGCAATTACCGTTCGAACATTTTTTAATTTCTTCAAAATTTGCGGAACTTTTAGCAGCTTCTCCTCACAAAATGATAAATGTCGAATTTTTTCGTCAACATTTTCTGTTGGTATTTCACTGTTTTACACTCTTTTGTGACACATCTAATGGCAAGATCATGTATCAAATCATGCATTTTAAATTCAATAAACCAATGGTGAAATCCAACTAACCTTCTGGAATGAGGCACCTTGACAGTAACTCATTCAAATATCGCCT